CTACAGAGCAGTGTATTCAGTTATTGGAAAGGTTATTGAAGTTTATGAACGTGGCTATACCAAATAGTACCACACCAAAGTGATAGCTGATATGTATGACTCTCCATTCTTAGCGGGAATCCCTTTGTACTTCATCACCAGTGTGGCATTATCCTAAATATGAAAGTTTTCAAGTGCATGTAGGAGAACTTTTGCCCCTTAAGAAATATTTGGAGGTACCTGAATGTATTGGGGGCTTTTACAACCCCGGAGAGGCAAGGAGGAGGAATGCACCTGCTGGATAGAAGGCAAGAATGGTACTGACATCTTACAGAGCACAGGGCTGCTCTTCCTTCGCTGCAGCACATCATCCCACCCTGCATGTCAGGCGGAGAGAGGCTGAGACACCTGCCCTAACCTGTTAAGTGACAGTGACTTGCTCACTGTGTTCAGCACTCTTGGAGACTTTTTAATGGCCATAGTTTGTTTTGTCCTTAGCTGTCCCCTATATTGTAGAAGCCATCCTCACACCATCTTCCTGATGAGGGAACCAATATTTTTATAGCAGCTTAAATGACTCTCCCAAGGTCACAATTATATAAATATTGGAACTAGGATTTAATTATAGGCATTGGAACCCAAAACTGTTCTTGCTATGATAAATATTTGCAGTGTTTTTACTTAACTTTAGCCTGCCATTTTTCATAGTTTCCTACTTTTTAAATACTGATTCATTGAGGACATTTAGGACATTAACCATACCAACTACTCTGTGTTCAGATTCCTAATTTATCTAAATTGGAAGAACCTACTGTCTTTCTTTTTTTTTAAAAGTTGTGCCAAAGTGAACATCAAATTTACCCTTTTAGCTACAGCTAAGTGAGTAATTGATATATTTATAACAGTGTGGTTCTACTTAACTGTTTTTCCCCACACTTTTTCATAATCATGTACAAATCCACTACAAGTGAAATCAGAATCTACCTTGCTGTGTCTGGCTTATTTTGTGCAGCCTGTTTTCAAGATCCTCCACACAGCAGTGTGTACCCGAACTTTGTCCCTATACATGACTGGCTCCTAGACTCATTGTAAACTCATATTACATTTTGTTTATCCACTACTTAGTTGATGGACATGCTTTTTTATTTAAATTAAATATTTTTATTATATTTGAGAATTTTCTTACATGCATACAATATATTTGATCGATTTCACAGATCCACACTCTATTTCCCTAACTCTTCCCTGATGATGGACACGTTTTGGGTGTTTTAAAATTTTGGTCTTTTGAGACAGGATCTCACAATACAAGTTGGCCTGGGACTTTCCATCCTCCTGCTCCATCTCTCCAGGGGGCGGGTACTCAGATCACAGTTATACTAATATCCACTCAGATTTCTAGGACTTTTCTGAGGTCTTTGGAGCTTTCCCAGAGTATCTGTTTACCAGTTTGTGAAGTCCGAACCTCAGTATAGAGAATGTTTCAGAGATGAGTCCTAGGCTAGACCTTGTGGGGAGCAGGGGCCATCCCACAGAGGCGGGTAGTAGGCTAGTGGACTTTTCTGAGGTCTTTGGAGCTTTCCCAGAGTATCTGTTTACCAGTTTGTGAAGTCCGAACCTCAGTATAGAGAATGTTTCAGAGGTGAGTCCTAGGCTAGACCTTGTGGGTAGCCATCCCTGAGACTTGATGCTTACAGCCAGTGCACTCAGTGTGGAGTCTGGTCTCACCATGGTGGGTCTATGGCACCTGTTCTCCAGCATTGCTCTTGGCCCTTAGTACCTGTCCCTCAGCCGTCCTGTGTGGAACACTGCTCAGAGATGTAGCTGAGCTGAGGGGTAAGCTGCCCTCACAGGTGACTAGTCTCCCATGATCCTTTCTAGTGTTCTCTCTTCTCTGCTGTGTCAGTTGCTGCTCAGTTGCTACTCCAGATACTCCCTTCCTGGAACCTCCCTAAGGACCAGAGCCAAGATTTAGCCAGAAAGTTAGGGGACTGCTAAACCCCTTCACTCGAAGGTATCACAGTGGCCCTAGTACTCATGGGTGGTGGACTCAAGGAAGAGGTAATCTATCTCTACCTGAGGAAGTCAGTGAAGGTCTTCATAGGGATTCAAAGTAAGCCACACTTTGAAGTGAGGAGGAGGGATTCTGGCTGGGAACAAGGCTAAGCAGACTTGAATGTTAGGGAGATGTTTAATTTTCCTCTAGGTATTTGGATTTATTGAGAGACTTCAGAAAAGACTAGTATAATCATAGGCCGGACTGAAGAATGTAGGGGATACAGTGAGTGGATGGTCAGGAGGGAGCTGGCACAGAAAAGGGGTGACCAGAATTGTAGTTCATCTTCCAGGCTGTGATGCTACAGACCTAGATTAAAGACAGAAGCTGTCAGTTACAGATTCAGGCTTGATGTGCATGGTGGTGCATGTCTGTATTCCCAGCAGTCAGGAGGCAGAGGCAGGAGAAGCATTCCAATTTCAAGGTCAGACTGAGCTACATAATGATACCTTGTCTCAACACAAAATAATTACAGAACCAATTCCATGCGAAGAAGGAGAGCTCACTTTGAGATGGACCTCAGATTTCTTGTTTGATGCCATTTGCTCAAATAAGAAGTTTTTAGAGTGGGACAAAAAAGAAGGGTGTTCATTTGGGGCATGCAAATATGAGCCATCTGTGTGATGTGCACTTTAAGCCACTCTTCTTTGTCAATTAATGAATGCTGGCAGTACTCTGCCACAGGACAATGATGCAGAGGGGCCCTGTCTCCTAAGGTAGACCCCCAGTGTGGGGGAATTAACAATTGTTAATATTTAGGAGGTAGGTAGAGTAATTTAGAAAAAGTAAATGCATGATAGTATATAGAGATAAGAAAAGGGGATATTTCTTTTCATTTCCTTTTAAGGGCTTGAATTAAATTGCCATAATTCATTGCAAATTTGGCTTGAGAAAAATCTGACGTCGTTTTTGTCTTGTTTCTATTTAAAGGTCGGAGAATACCATTTGTATGAAATTATGTCTATTCCATAGTGCATGGTTGTCTATAAACCAGTGGAAAGAATAAAATCACTGACCACATAGCAGTAAAGATGCTAAGGAGACCAGCAGTCACCACATGTATACTGTAGGCAAAGTCTCTAGAAGAGCTCTACCCAAAGATACAAGTATGGTTGTACCCGAGGCTGCCGAGCCTGATCCTTGGCTGCTGTGCTAGCCTGACTTGTAATTTTCCATGTCATCTAAATTTGTAAAAACTCTTGAATATGGTAGAGTTGCAATGAATAAACACCCTGCTTGCTGCATTTCTTCTGCATGAGCAATTCCCTGACAAATACCAGCTCTTGGCAGCAGCAGGCCTGGTCATGAACTTCGTTCAGCTTTCAGAGTGCTGAGGCCTGCAATGAGCATCATGGTGTCCTTAATGTTTAGATGCTAAGTTTTTAAAGGAAGAAAGGGAAAATGGAATAGCTAAACTTAATAGAGTAGAGCTCTTGTGTTTATATAACGGCCTAAAAAGTGTATCAACCTTAATGATGACCTCATTTCCTTGATGTGAAAACACTTCACTGTTCCCACTACTCCCTGTGGCTTGTTTCTGGCTCAAGTGTGGTCAGAATTTGGGTTAATGGACGGGAGTAAGGTGTAGAATGTAAGACAGGTAGCATGGGGAGCCAGGTTTGTGTCTGTTAATAACCTAACTGGAAGGATTGAGAAATTAGTGTTTTGGGAAAGCTACTAAGGTTCTCCCAGGGAACCAGCATTGTGACTTGATCACACTGTTCATTAACAGGTCTTGGACAGCCACCATACTGCCTGCTGGCTGAATCCCAAACTGGTAATTCTCTCCAGCAACCTCTCCGAGGGTTACATCATCTCTACCTCAACAGCTTTACACTTTCCATCTGTTGAAATACACAACATGGTTGCTCATTGTAGTTTTTTCCAAAAGAAAGACAGAGGAGCCGCATTCGCCATTGCTGTACATTTAAAACCATGTTAATAAGCACTTTAAACACACATTAAGCTTAAACCGATGTTAAGCATGGTCAGTTGCCTCTGTATTTCGTACAGGACAAAAGTGAGCACAGAGCAGGCTTTCTGCCACTATGCTGGAAGCTCAGTAGATGTTTCCAAGTTGGAATGAAGCAACAACTTGGATTTTGCTCTGTGTCGACCTCAAGGGTGGTTTTCCTCGTAGTCACACCATTTACTTAGCTAGGTTTAGTGTGTGTGTGTGTGTGTGTGTGTGTGTGTGTGTGTGTGTGTGTGGGGGGGGGGGGGGGGGGGGGGGGGGGGGGGGGGGTTACCAGGTGTATCCTTTACAAAGCAGGAAGAAGAGCGATGTGATGCTGTGATGTTCACAATTGCTCAATCTTTTAAATTGCCTTCATTTCCAATCCTCCTAAACTTTTAAAGATATTTGCTAATGGTCCTACAAGTTACAAAAAATGATTGAGTTGCCTTGGATTTTGTAATTTTGAGGTGAATGGAGCATGGTGTGTACTAAATAAAATCACTGAGTCACGTGCAGTTTGCATGCATACATATTCTTATACATTCCTATTTCCATATGAGAACTGGTTCACTATTCCTTTCATTTTTTCTTTTGCCACTTGTGAAGTTTCTTAGGAAGGATGACCTTGTTTTGCTTGTTTTTCATTATTTTAAAGGTCTCTGGGGAACAAGACTCATGGAAGAGAGCAACACTAACCGAGAGAAATACCTTAAAAGCGTATTACGGGAACTGGTCACTTACCTCCTTTTCCTCATAGTCTTGTGCATCTGTGAGTACACTCTTTCTCTCTCTAATGGAATGTTTTGAAGGTGTTTGACCTGTTGTAATCACAACTGAAGAGAACTATGTGAGAACCTGGAGGGTAAAGCCAGCAATTTTCTTCTCAGTGTGGTTTACAGTTCAGGTTGGACTTTGGGGAAGTTCTCTGCTGGCCAGTTCATCATTAGCTGTGACAGACTTCACTGTGAGATGCACAAGAAACCTTCTGTCTACAAAAATCCCAGCCAAAGGTTTTGGATGTTAGATTTCATATCACTGAATGTCACACTTCCGTGTCTAACTCTCAAGTGATAACTCTCCTTAAGACTGCACGTGGTGGCACATGCCTTCCAAAATCCCCTTGGGGATCCTGACAGTTTGAGTCACTGCTTTCCTTAAAGTGCTTTATTTCTGCCAAGTCCTCCAGGGTCACTAGGCTTTAGGGAAAACCTAGCTGACCTAGTTTGTGTCCTTCCTCTTTTACTTCAATGTGTTCATGCGTTCTCTGGGGAGGGAGTGGAGGGAAGCTGTAGCTCAGAACCCATCTCAGGAACTGTTTGCTTTTAAGTCCAGAAAAGCTATAGGCAAATCATGCGTCCTGAATAGAAGCATGTTGAAGTGTGGGTTTTTTAAATTGTGTGTGTGTGTGTGTGTGTGTGTGTGTGTGAGAGAGAGAGAGAGAGAGAGAGAGAGAGAGAGAGAGAGAGAGAGAGAGAGAGTATGAGTATGCATTCCCACACAAGTGTTCTTGTGGAGGTCAGGGGACAACTGTAAAGTCATTTCTCTCCTTCCATTTTTATGCGGGCTCTAGCTTGAACTTAAACCATTAGGCTTGCTTGTTAAGTGTGGTAACTGCTGACTATCTTGCTGGCCCTGAAGCATAGATTTTTGTTATGTCTTCTCTGAGGACTTTTATGGGGACAAGGAAGCCAGTTTTTGCCATTCCCACCCCCAGGCTTTTTACTAAACTTCCCTAAAGAGAAACCTGCCTTTTCCAGTGTTGACTGAGAGATGCTTAACAATTGATGCCCACAAAGAGAAGAGTTTATCTTTTTTTGTATGTGGAGAGAATCAGAGTTTGATCAGTGATTCCATAATGTTCTTTGGGTGGGAGACTGGAGAAGTGGCTCAGCAGTTAAGAGCAGCCTTCCCTGTTTGCATCTTCATCCATTTTCCTCATCTGTACTCCCTGTAATAAGCTGGGAGATGGGGGGAAAAAGTGAAAATATTCCCAAGAGTGTAATTCATAGGAGAGCAGACCCAGGAATGTTTGCTTAGAGAAAAAAATCTAAATAAGTTTCATCTTATTACTATCTGTTTTAGCAACCTATCGTTTATTTCTGGTGCTTGGTATATGTGCCTCATTTATTGAGTATTTAATTTAATTCCTACTATGGAGATAATGGTCTGGCTGCAGCTCTGAAAAGTAATTATCTTAGATAGCAAAGTACAATCTGCTGCCAATGGAGAAAATCTAGTCATTTAAAATAAATAACCACTAACAGGCTTAAAAGTGACAGTTTTTTTGTTTTGTTTTGCCCGTTTGGAAGAAGAAAGCTTTATTTAGGAAATGGCTTTGATGAGATGTAACTTTTATATATGCCTTAAGATCCATGCACATACGCATGTTTCATTTATTTTTCTAATGTGTAGAGGTTTAACTCCCACAATCCAAATTTACAGGATTTCTATTGTCTCAGAATTCACCCTGATTATTTCAGTTGTTGGCTGAAGCCAGCTTCCTTCCTATCACTGTCTCTCAGCTGTTACATCACGGCTGGCTTGGAGGGTCACCCGCCTTTCCCCCCATCCTTGGCAGCCATCATCTTACTGCTATGAACTCAGCATATTACATTCCTTATATACACGATGAGATGGAATATTTCAGATTTCCACGTTCTTAGCTGCTGGAGCACAGAACACTGAGGTTGAGTTTGTCCAGCACAGAAGTGCACTTAAATATTAAACCACATTGGCTTTTGCATTAACATGTCCATTAAAATTACTCAGCATTTTCAAACGGCACATATGCAAGCATATTTCTAATGCAAAGGAAGTCTAGATTTTGAGTAATCTTCCAGACTGAACATCAGTTGCCAAGAGAACTTAAAAAAAAAAAAAAAAACCAAAAAAACTTACAGCTTTAACAGGTCAACTAAAGCTCTTCAAAATGAGGAAAAGTATGTTTTCAGATGGAGTAAGTTTGGGAATGAGGCCAAATAAGTAAACTGAAGACTGAGAGCCAAAGAAACCTGACTGAAGTTACACAACCAGCTGTGTTTTCTTGTTTATTTTAGAAATCTCTGGGTTGGCTTTTTCTTATTTTTCACTATAACCACAAGCTTGCTTTTTTTTTTTTCTGTCAATGCTACATTTTTTACTTTAGTAAGGTTATATTTTTTAGAGGGAACATTGGTGTAAATGGTTATTGACTCAACCCATCCGACAGGATTTGGCTGCAGACAGGACAGCCAGTCGCTGGGCATTTCTTGGGCAGTGATGGAGGCTGAGTCACCTGATCAGACATGGAAGATGGTTTCTAGAGTTTCAGTTAGGCTGACAGCAGTTTGTGGTGAAGGCTAGGAACTAGAAGGCCTAGAAGGTTCCGAAGCCTCACTACTGTTGGGCCAAGGAGAGCATCGTTGTCACTCCTCTTCCCTCAGGGTCAGCTCAGGAGCCAGATCCAGGGAGAAGCTCTGTGGTGCCAACTCAAGAGGGACTCTCCTGCTACTCAGGCTTTGTCTGCATAGGCTTTTTTTAATCTTTGTTTTAGGAGGTTTTGCTTTGTGTTTTGCTTAAATGTAAGTTGGTCGTTTTGGGGTTTCCCATGGTGATTTTGCTTATTTTTATATTACTTGTATCATTTCATACATCTTGATAATGTTATTTCATACATAAGAACTCATGAGAGCTATGCCATTGTTTATGATATCATTTATCGATATAAAGCAATCTTTTCTTTAGATCCAGTGCTCTTATCCTGATCGCCTTTATAGGAAACTACTGTCACTTTCTGTTGCTTTGATTTTATTACCACAAAGCAACCTGGGGAGAAAAGGGTTTATTTCATATTGCAGCTTTCAGTCCATCCTCAAGGGAACCCGGAGGCAGATCCTGAGGCAGGAACTGAAGCAGAGACTGTGGGGGGAGGGGCGCTGCTCTCTGACTTGTTCAGCTGCTTCCTGGATACCAACCCGGACCACCTGCCCCGGGGTGGCATGACCCACCTTGGGATGAACTCTCCCACATCAGTCACCCCCAGACACCCACAGGACAGTCTGATGGAGGAAATCCCTTGCTTGGGTTTCCCTCTTCCCAGGTGACTTTAGTTTGTGTCAAGTTGTCAAAAACTAAGTAAGCAGCATGTTAACTTACTCTTTTTGGAGAATATTTATTAGTGTGTGCACATATGATGCACAAGTGTTAGCTGTGGATGCATGTGGTGGACAGAGGACAACTTTGTGGGTTGGTTCTCTCTTCCCTCTGTCACGTGGGACCAAGATTGAACTCAGGTCTCCAAGCTTGCAAATGTCAAGTGTCCCTCCATTCTTTAACTTTATATTAAGTAGGTTTCTTATAAAATTTCTTAAGTTGCCTTTTTCAAATTTTAATGCCCTATTTTCTAATAAGAGGATAACCCAGTCAAATTTCCATTGCTCTCCTTTGTTTAAGCTTTCCTGGAAACTTTACAGTTTTCTTTTTCTCTCATGAAATTAGAATTTTTTTCTTTTGCTTCTAGCCATTGAAATACATGCAGTAGATGGAACTCTGCTATATTGCATTTGTTTTTTTGAATGTTCAAGCTTATAGTTTCTCCCATCCAAGTACTAACCAGGACTGACCCTGCTTAACTTACCAGATCAGAGTTAGGGAGTGTTCAGAGTGGTATGGCCATAGATAGCTTATAGTTTCTGAATAATGAACAAAACAGTATCATTGATTGCTTTGAGCTGATTTGTTATTGTTTTCAAGGCATCTTTTCTTAGTTTACATGATGAATGTTTGGTAGTCTGTGGTGTTTTTTGTTTGTTTTGTTTTTTTTTTTTACTTGTGTTTGATTCTATCCTAGGTCTCTGGGCCATCTAGCCTCTGGGTCCTGGCCCTCCAGGCAGTGTCAGGGATTGGCTTCCTCTTGTGGTATAGGTCTCAAGCTAGACCAGTCATTGGTTGGTCACTTCCACAATTCCTGCACCACCTATATATACCCCAGCACATCTTGTAGGCAGGACAAATTGTAGGTTGAAGGTTTTGTGGCTGGGTTGGTGTCCCAGTCCCTCCATTGGAGGTCTTGCCTGGTTATAGGAGATGGCTGGATCAGGTTCCTTATCCCCCATTGCTAGAAGTCTTAGCTAGGGTCACCCTTGTGGACACCTGGGAGTTTCCATTGTACTAAGTTTCTAGTTTATTCCCAAGATGCCTCCAATGTCAGTTGTCTCTTTCAGTATTTCTCCCTCCATCCTTCCCCCACCTGATTCCTCCTGTTCCTGTCCCCCTGTGATATCTATCTTATTCCCCTTCCCAGGGGGATCCATTAGTCTCCCCCCCCCCACTTGAGTCCTCCCTGTTGCTTAGCTTCTCTGACTTGGTGGATTGTAGTATGGTTATCCTTTACAGCTAATATCCACCATGAGTGAGTATATACGGTGTTTTTTTTTGTTTTGTTTTGTTTTGTTTTGTTTTCTGTGTCTGAGTAATACTCCATTGTGTAAGTGTACCACATTTTCTTTATCTATTCTTTGGCTGAGGGACATCTAGGCTGTTTCCAGTTTCTGGCTATGACAAATACAGCTGATATGAACATAGTTGAGCAAATGTCCTTGAGCAAATGTTCTTGTGCTATGATTGAGCATCCTCTGGGTACATGCTCAACAGTGATATAGCAGGTAGATTGATTCCCAATTTTCTCAGAAACTGCCATATTGATTTCCATTGTACCTGTATAAGTTTGCACTACCACCAGCAATGGAAGAGTGTTCTTTTGACCCCACATCCTCTCCAGTATAAGCTATCCCTTGTGCTTTTCGTCTTAGCCATTCTGACAGGTGCAAGATAGAATCTCAGAGTCATTTTTATTTGCATTTTCCTGATGGCTAAGGATGTTAAGCATTTCTTTAAGTCTATTGGCCAGTTGAGATTCCTCTATTGAGAATTATCTATTTAGATCTGTGCCCTATTCTTTAATTGGATTATTTGGCTTTCTGATGTCTGATTTCTTGAGTTCTTTATATGTTTTGGAAATCATCCCCCTATCAGATGTGGGTTTGGTGAAGATCTTTTCCCACTCTGTAGGCTGCTATTTTGTCTTATTACAGTGTCTTTTGCCTTATAGAAGCTTTTCACTTTCATGAGGTCCCATTTATTTGTTTGTTTGTTTGTTTTTGTTTTTTCAAGACAGGGTTTCTCTGTGGCTTTGGAGGCTCTCCTGGAACTAGCTCTTGTAGACCAGGATGGTCTCGAATTCACAGAGAGCCCCCTGCCTCTGCCTCCCGAGTGTTGGGATTAAAGGCGTGTGCCACCACTGCCGTCGAGGTCTGATTTATTAACTGTCCATCTTAGTGCCTGGGCTATTAGTTCAGGAAGTTGACTCTGGTGCCAATGTGTTCAAGGGTAGCCTGTGTTTTAATGTATTTTGTTTTGACTTCTTTTGGAAAAATGGGAAATGAGGGGTTAAGAGAAGAAGTGGCAGATGGAATGTGTGTACATGACACACACACACACACACACACACACACACACACACACTCATACATATCCATTACCTGGTATCACATAAATATATGTTTATCTTCCTTTGCACACAGTACAAAGTGTGTGTTCTCATTGCAATTCATTTAGAGTGTGAGTACCACTTTGCCAGTGGACTTCCTCCACTGAAAGACGTGTAGCTGTCATGTTTCCACTCCTGTTCACACTGTGCAAATGCCTTCCTTCCTTCACATGCATCTCTTTAATGGGGTTCATAAAAAGCTTTCAGTATTATTATGCTCATTTTCAAATTCACACTCAAGAAGGTTGGTTAATTGCTGTTCAAGATCTAGGGGTACCAGCACCTTCTGTTGTGAGCTCACAGGCAGATACTCTGTGTGGAGCCCGTCTGAGGTTCTCACCTAGATTGTCTGATGTTGAGCTGCCTCTGACATGTTCCTGCCCTGGGCATATGTAGAAATGTTGCTCCCAGGTAATTAGGTCAGCTGTATCTTGATAAAATTAAGAAACAGTTCTTGGTGCCCCAACCGGTTTTGTCCTTCAGTGTTAGAGGCATCATTTGCTGATGTCCAGCAGGGGGTGCTGTACACATAATGGAATTTTAGTAGCAAACACCAGTATCTGATTTGAAGAATAATGGGAGACAAAGGAGATACCTTTCAAAGGTGGTGTCTATAACATGTTTAGGTGTGCATAATTTTTACCTATCCACAAATAGCTTCCAATAGCAATAGGTAAAACACTCCCAAAATATTCTATATAAGCCAGTACCCCAAAGAATACATCCTAATTTCACACTAATTGAAAGTAACCACCTAACCATTTATTCCATCATCACTCTTTTGCATCTCCTTTGTCCCTTGTATAGACTGGATTCATAAGGCGTTGCTGCCCAGGGCAGGGGCACTTCTACCTGTCCCTCTATGGGAGGTGAGTGGTCCGGCAGAACACTTCTGAGGACTCGAGAGTCCCTTGTTTGGAGGGAGATGTCACTTCTTGTTAATACTCGTGTCTGATAACTGTGCCATTGACTGGATTAGAATTCCAAATCCTGAACTAGGATCAGTCTGGTGTTGGAGGGGGGAGCTGGTCATGTATCATGTGAAGAACGTTGTTGTTATTCTAGATACACCATAGAAAGGCAGGTGAAGGACTGGAAATTATTTATATACTCTGCACAATTGCACCAACTGTGGGTCTCTGTTAATTTCTTGCTTAAGTGATTGCTTGAGATGAACTCTCAAACACACTTATGTTGGATCACTGTCACCCACATTTCTTCTTTAATAATCTTAATTTGATATACTGCTTGACAATAGTAGGGCAAGAGAGATAGACTTTCCAATCATTTAAACAAAATTAGTTTAATACAAGTCATTACAGAATCAAGAAATAATCATCTTTGTGTTCACCACTATGGTCAAAAGACACAGAAAACAGATTCCTTCTTCTAGAAGCTTTTGGTTTTTAGCAAAGTATAGGAATTACAGCAGAGTGCACCTATAATCATAATAATTCCAGGATAAAACAGTACTCGCTGAAGTGCTAAATGCTTTAATTTTCAAAATGTATTTAAGACGTGTGTATGGAAACAGGCATGCTGTGGTGTACATGAGAAGGTCAGAGCACTCCAATTCTCTCCTCTCACTTTTACATGGGTTTCCAAAATTAGGCTCAGGTTGCCAGGGATATGTGATAAGTGCCTTTCTATACTGAGCCACCTTGCTAGCTCGGAAGTCCCAAGTTTCTGATAGATGTTTTGTAGCACACTAGTAAGAAAGGAAAAGCTGGACATTTCTTAACTGTTATCCCTGTATCAAGTAGGTGTTAGTTATTCTTAATAAAGCACCCATAAATCCTATAGAGAGAGCCCCCATAACACCTTACAGAACAGGGGTCTGAAGCTTGTAAAGTAAAAGCAGCCATTCAGGAAGTAAGAAACATGTCCAGCAATGCAAGTCTACTCCTCTGAGCTGCCATGGTCCATTATTATGATCCATGACGGCCACCATAACTTGGATCACAGTCTCCCATACAGGGTTTGATTGACATTTCAGAGGCAGCCCATAAATCCTATAGAGGAGCTACTTATAACACCTTACAGAACAGGGGTCTGAAGCTTGTAAAGTAAAAGCAGCCATTCAGGAAGTAAGAAACATGTCCAGCAATGCAAGTCTACTCCTCTGAGCTGCCATGGTCCATTATTATGATCCATGACGGCCACCATAACTTGGATCACAGTCTCCCATACAGGGTTTGATTGACATTTCAGAGGCAGGTAGAAATCCAAAGTAGTAATTGTAGGTGGAGTTTCTTTCTAGCCTGGTCCCACATCCACTTTGGCCCAAATAAGCACACGGACAGGTAGAAATCCAAAGTAGTAATTGTAGGTGGAGTTTCTTTCTAGCCTGGTTCCACATCCACTTTGGCCCAAATAAACACACGGACACTATATTAATTATAAAACTGTTGGTTGATGGCTAGGACTTCTTACTGGCTGTCTCTCTCTTAATTATTAACCCATTTCTATTAATATAAGTATTTCCATGGTCTTATCTTACTGAAGGAGGGTCCAGACCAGTTCCTCCTTCCTTGGCTACATGGAGTCTCCTTCCATGACCTCTCTGCCTCTCTTCCCAGCATTCTCCTTGTCTGGTAGCCCCACCTATCTTCCTGCCTCTACTGGCCAATCAGTGTTTTATTCATCAAACAATAAGAGAAACATATTTACAGAAGGATATCCCCCATCATCTCCTCCTTTCTGTCTAAATAAAAAGAAAGGTTTTAACTTTAACATAGTAAAATTATATATAACAAAACATTTATCAAGTAAGCACTATAGTTAATAATATTTAGTCCATTAACATTTGGCAAAATTTAAAGAAAATATTCTGTCATCTATCCTATCTTTGTGAGTCTAAACTTTTATATGTAACTTATTTTTTTATAATAACTAGTGAAACCATAACCATAATCTGTCTTCAACTCCATCAAAGACCTCAGAAGGATAATGTATAAACTCTAGAATTGACAGAGATATCTCGCTGCCTGGACAGTCACCCAAAATTCCTCTTTGGAACATTAATCTTCAGCCCATAGGCCATAGTGTGTCTGGAAGACATTATGCAAAAGGGCCATTTGTAAGGATGTGACAGGTTAAGGGACCAACAGAGGAGGAGAGCCCCTTGGGAAAGATTACCACTGTAGACATAGGTGACAACATAGGGAGGCATATAGTTGTCAGTATGGATTCTCCCAACAGCTGTGGCCAAGGCTAAAGGGTCCCCTGCCATTTGCATCTAGATAATCAATGGATGAGTGTAGGGCTCCAGGGGACAACGTATATCTGTCTCCCCTGATGCACAAAGGGACAGAGGTCTCAGGTGTTGAAGTCTGTAGAGGTTAGCCTTGGAGCTGTGAGAGGACAGGGATGGCGAACTGGTCTCGGAGAACTAAGAAGGGGGCGGGGGAGTAGACAGACAAATGCAGACTTGGGAGATGCCAGAGCTTGTGTGGTGTTCTGAACACAGCAGCCTCAATAGCTGCAAAGACTGATCTAGGGGACAGTAGGAGGTCAAACAACACACACATTGGAAGTCAGTTCAGTACTCGGTATTGGGCCTGTTTGTTTCACATAGGCCAGGATTCATGCTGCATATTTCTTAAATAAGCAGAGAGATAGGGATAATCTAGAGTATTGGCAGGGGAGGGAAGAGGTGACCTTATGTGGACACTGATCTATGCAAAATGCCCACCTACCAGAAACAGGCTGTTTATGGAGGCTGTCGGCTGTGCATGTGTGTGTAGATTCCCTCTTGTTGCTCACTCAGTTCTTTCTGTCTTCCAGTGACCTATGGCATGATGAGCTCCAATGTGTACTACTACACACGGACATTGTCACAGCTTTTCATAGACACCCCAGTGTCTAAAACAGAGAAAACTAACTTTAGAACTCTTTCTTCGATGGAGGACTTCTGGAAGGTATTTACAAATGACCTAAAGTACTTCCCTGTCTCCAAAAACTATTCATTTGGTACCATAAGTTCAACTCATTATTAAGTTGTTTAGAGTTCCTGAGCCTTTGGGTATTTATTGAATGTTGAAAGCACTTTGCACAGAATATTTTATACCTCTATTAATTTCTATAGTGATCTTATCAGGTACGTACTAATAAGTTTGCCACAGTTTGTAAATGAGGTAAGTGAAATTCAGGGTGCTTACCTTATGGTCACATGGCTGGAGAAGAAAAGACCTGTTTTGTTTGTTTGTTTCTTTGTTTTATATGATTGCTGCTTCATTATAGCTTATTGGTCACTCATTCATAATTATGTAAATGGTGATTGACACAAGTCCCAAGTAGCAAATTTGGGTGTCCTACACTGCTCTACTTTTTGTGATTTGTGTCTTTGTTGATAGTGCCATGTGCCTTCAGCTCCCAGAATATGTCCAGCTCCTAATAAGACATGGACATATTTCAAAGGTCTGCTACTGTAAAGTTCAACCTAGCCTCCTCCTCTAAGCTCCAACTAGCAAGCAATAGCAATGAATAACACAGGACAGTGATTAAGCCAGTCCTGATGGCGCTCAGAACCTGGGAAAATCAGAGAGGATATTTAAAAGGAAGTTATTGTTTCTCCCAGGAGAAATAGTATGGGAAATTCTTATTAAACCCTGAAGTCAGAGCTTGTGGTTTCAGGCATAGGGAAAACTAGGCACTGCAACCTTTTAACACATAAGAACACTTGTTGTTAAACCCCACAGTTGTGCAGTACTGGCCTTTGCCCTGCTCAGTATGGCAGGTCTCAATATGGATGCCCCGGTAATGAATGCATGGAGAAATGACTAGATCTTTTCTCCACTAAGGAAGAGCCTTTCATACAAACACGAAACTTCTCACATGCACTGTTCCATGATGATAAATGCCAAGCCACATAGAGGAGGGGTAGGGTTGAAGGACTCCACGTGCAGCAAAATCCAGGTAGAAAAAGATCCAGTAGAAAAGGTAATTGACATTCCTGCCTTTTTTACTCTGGAGTTATAGTTATGTGGGATGCTGTTTTTCTAAGAGAAAGTGAAGTTCTTGGCCTTTATGTATCTATGAAACATGCGAGTCTCTGTTGTTAGTCCCAGACAGAAATCAGAGTACATTGATACTGTGTCAGGTGCTTGACCTGAAAAGTGTTCCCAAATGTGGGAACCCAGCTTAGGGAATCCTATGCAAGGCCCCACACCTAGCAAATGGCAGTAAGATCCAAACCCAAATCTTTGTGACAGCATGACCTACGCTTATAGGCTCAAAGACTTGGTGACTTATAAACATACGCTCCAGGCAGAAGCCAGCCAGCCTCTGAGTCTGGATCTCCCAGAATTCTTTGTGTCAGTTCACAGAAGGCTCCTTCCTGGATGGGCTGTACTGGAAGGCACAGAAAAGCAACCACACGCAGGCTGACAACCAGACCTTCATTTTCTACGAGAACCTGCTGCTAGGAGTGCCTCGTCTGCGCCAGCTCAGGGTCAGAAACGGATCCTGCTCCATCCCTCAGGACTTGAGAAATGAAATTAGAGAGTGCTATGACGTCTACTCTGTGAGGAGTGAGGACAGGGCTCCATTTGGACCTCGAAATGGAACGGCGTAAGGATCTGCGATGCATGTCCAGTGATAGCATCTGTGGTTTGGGTCAAGCTGACCCTTTCTCCTTGTTTTCTCTCATCTTCTTTCTCGTCTCCTTTTGGTTTCTAAATGCACATTTCACAATGACTGAGCTGTCCAGCATATAACCCAAGAAAAAGAAGTGATTCCAGCCTTGAGAGCTTTCAGGATGCTCAGTATTATTTCTTTAGGACAAACAGGATTGTCCCCTAACTCACTTTAGTAGTTCTTGCAAATACATGTTTTCAGAATGTAATTCTTTAAAGTGCAAACTTAGGGGTACTGAAGAGATGTCTCAGTGGTTAAGAGCACACATGTTGTGCTTGCAGGGGATGGTTTGGATCCCAGCACTCCTCCCAGGAGGCTCACAACCACCGGTACCTCCAGTTTCAGGGAATGATCTTGTGTCCTCTTTTGGCCTCTGTGCATGTGACACACATGAACACACACACTCAGGGAATGATCTTGTGTCCTCTTTTGGCCTCTGTGCATGTGACACACACGAACACACACACATTTTCTCTCTCTCTCTCTCTCTCTCTCTCTCACACACACACACACACACACACACACACACAAGCACACAAACACACACACACACACAGTATATACTATACAAATAAAATGAACCTTTAAAATGGATTTCCTTCACACTGTTTCTACTCTTTTTTGTGACTTCTCATTTATTTCCCCTCATGTTTATTCCACTCCCTCCATAATGTGATTGCTGACATACAGATTCTTTTTCTATAATGTTACTTTGTCTCACACCATGGATAAGAGGCATTGATACAGCTACTTTGTGACAGGCCCTGTTCATAATGTGTCTCGTTCCCATCTTATAGAATACCTCTAAGACAGGTTTCATCTCATGTCATAGGAAGCAAGGAGAGACAGCTGTGAAGTACTTACTGCACATGTCCCTTTTGTCTACAGTTTTCACTGGGGCCTTTGTGGAATATAAAGATCAAGAGATAGAGTATGGTGGGGACATGGTGGCACAGGCTCTGTGGACAGACAGGTCTAGCTAGTGTGGGTTCTAGATTCTTAAGGCAAAACACACTGGGAATAATCAAATTTACTAAGCCTCGTTACCAAACTGAGGCCAGTAACAGTGAGGATTCACTAAGAAAACAAATGGAAATGTTTTTTCAAGCACACCAT